TTTTAATTAAAAATTTGATAAAATTAAAGTTAATTTTTTTAATAATAATTAATATGAAAAATGTACCATTTATTTATCTTTAACCAACTCCTAATAGATAAAAGGAGAAAAGAAAAAAGAAAAATTAGAATGTCCTGATATTAAAAGTGTCAAGATATTCAATAATAATCATATGATAAATTTAATAAAATTTAGTCTTATATCATACCCTATATATCATGTAGTTATTATCAAATGCTTTAACATTTTTAATATTAAAACATCTTAATTTTTCCTTTTCTCTATATAAAAACCCAATTGTTATTATTATTATAGATGATAACACTAAAACTAATGATTACACATCTTGAGTCGTTTAATGCCCTATCATGATTTAAAGAAACTACAGTATGAGGTGGGAGCCCTATCACTTGTAATAATAACACAATACAAATGATTTTTAAGCCCACATTTTTTAAAAGACTTTCTATGTCTTGCGATTAAAGCAGGATATTGTCGATCTTAGTAACAAAATACCTTATTTTTTCCATTAATTTCCTTGATTTATTTTTTCCATTAATTAAATAACTTTGAGTTTTATCAAGTAAACTACCAAATTGAAAATTATACATATGAACTTTAATACAAAACTATTAACAACAAGTAAAATAATTTTTTTTATATTTAATTCACATATTTTTTTCATTATATACTAAATGGGAGATTTTCTCATTTTAACACCTTACCTATATATGTGGTTTCCTGAAGCAAGCATTTGTTAACATACGCAACCTCCTCTTCACCATCTGTATAGGCCGATCAAAGCAGCACCGACCCACCACCCCATCTCACTCCCTAAATACCAGCAATTGTTCACAGTCACCTTCAGCTGTTCACTATTGAACCACAACACGCCTTTATGGAAAAGAAAAAAGAAAAAAATTCTCCACCAAGCAAAGAAAAACAGCTAGAGTTCCCGCGAGAAGGAAAATTGCCTCCAAATATGGAGAAAAGAGAAAATTTATACTAATAATAATATAGTTACACTCATAATATATTATTAAATATACATAATAAATAATTAACACCGCCACCATGTCTAACTGTATCATTTTTCCAACCGTATTACGTCGGCTTATCCGTTTCTTCCAACAGGCAACAGGCGAGCAAAATGCAAAACGCCATTGGTTGTTAGTTTGGTTCGCCCCTTCCGGAATGTCATCTATTTTGCGCGTTTTGCTGACCGTCAATAGATGTTAGCAACGTCGGAAATTGCCAGAGCAGTTATGGCCGTGTATGGGATCCGATCGAGAGAGGTCGTCCAATTACGGACTAGGTGGAGAGCGCAAATTGTGAATCAAATGCTACTACTAGTATCTAATTAAATAGCTTTGTTCATGTTGACATAGTCCATGGCAGAGGTCATATTTATTCTTTTTTAAATAGGTATAATTTCAGATGAGAAAGTAAAAAATTTCAATATGATGGTGAGATATTTTAAAGAAAAAAATACATTAATTTTAATTTTTAAAATAAATTAAAGTTTTAATTTTAAATTATATCATTTTATTTAATTAAAATTTAATTTAAAATTTAAAAAATTATCTTATTTAATATTAATATAATTACAACAAACTTTCAAATATTTCTCAGTTCTTTTCAAACAGACTTATAATAATTTAATTTTTAGGTAAACATTTTAATATTTAAATTAATAATATTTAATATACTTAAAAAAAAATAACAAAAAACCTCTTGGTCAATTTCAATTGTCTGTTGTAAGTAATCTTTGAAGATATTTATAAGTTTTAATAGAATATTCACGTGGTTTCTGTGGCTAGGGAATTTTTGAACATGTCAAATAAAGTAGGCATCGCAGGAATGAAAATTAGATAAGTGCAATCTCATAATGTAGTCATTGTGCAATTAGATAGTACTCAACCTATATCGTACTATAGTTGTTAAGTGATTTAAACTTGGACATGACTTAAGAAGGTGACAAGCAATGCTAATGGTATACATATAACATATTCGAGTTAAATGATATCAGAC